ACCCCGCGCTGGCGCCCCCCGGGCCGCCGCCCGGCGCGGGGGCCATGGCGTTCACCTTCGCAGCATTCTGCTACATGCTCACCCTGGTGCTGTGCGCCTCCCTCATCTTCTTTGTCATCTGGCACGTAAGGCTGGGCTCAGACTGGGGGCGGGGTGGGGGGCAGTGGGCTTAGGGAGCAGCATGGGGCTGGGGCGGATGGGCTCAGAGCCCCGGGGAAACTTGAAGGGTCTTTTCCATTATCCATCATCCATTGGTTTCTATTCGCCCCCCTCCATTAACACCCCCTGCTGTCGGCTTCCTTCCCCGGGGGCAGCCCCCCTTCCCTCACCGCCCCCGCCTGTCTGGGGATATGTCAGTAGGTCCTGACCCTCTCCTTGCCTGATCCAGTCATTGGGCAGGGGGTGGAATTCTTGATTCTTCTACATCTTCATCCATCCACCCCCGTCTGTCCATCGGGCAGTTTGTCTGTTTCCCCCCCACACACCCCTCCTTTGTGGGTTTTTCCAACCAGAGTGATGGAGCCGGTTGCTATGGCAACTGCATCTGTTTACAATACCCGCATATCTTGGAACCCATTATCCCTGTCCCCTCTCGGACCCTTCTCTGACCCAAGAGGGACAGGTTCGAAGTAGCCCCAGAAACCTAACCCCCACCTTGCCTCACTTCGGGGAACCCTCCAGTTCCCTTCCCACCCCCCAGCTTCCTTCCTACTCCCCACATACATGCCCTTTGTCTTTCATGCCCCCACTTCTGGTCTGCCCTCTCTCTGGCCTAGCCTCGCTCAAGAATGTCTGTCTCATCTCCTCCAATGGCTTTCCCCTGGGGAGGGTTCTCCTAACTAGTTCTACCCGGGGCTTTCCCAAGGGTGCCCTCTACCTGGTCCCTTTCTCCTCCCTACAGAACTGTGAGCCTCTGGCTCACTGTTGGGGTCTTTGCCCCACCCCCCTTTCCAGCTTCCCCTCCGCCTCTGCCCTCTGAGGTTTCTGCCCCAAACGGGTGCCGTCCAGGCCTCTGTCTGTTGTGGCTATTAGCACACTCTGCACATCTGCACACACCTCCCTGGTCTTGTCATCCTCTTTTAGGGGTCCTCTTATCTGATTGCAACCAGCCTGCCTCCCTTCCTCCTTGCTTTATCTGCCTCTTTCCTGCTCCCCCACTTCCTCTCTCTTCCTGGGACTTGCTGCCTCTCACCGGTAGTCCCCGTCACCCCGTTCCGGGAAATCTCCCCTTGTATCCTCCCCTTGTTCTCCTTCCTATGGTACCATGCCACCACTGTATGAAGATCCTAGGCCCCACGAGTGTCTCCCAGTGTGTTCCGTCTCCAGCCCTGGCCCTCACTTTGCCCTAGTCTTGATCCAAGTCTCCAGTTGCTTTTGCTTTTTCTTGCCCTCTGCTCCGTATTTCTCTTCTTCCGTCACCTCAGATGCATTATCATCTCTGAGCTTCCTGTCCCAGGCTCAGGGCCTTCTGACAGTCCTGTGGGGGCAAGAGAGCTCGGGTCCTAAGAATTAGAAAGAATGGGAGGACACAGGAAATAACTAGTGCCTGAAATCCAAGAAGCCCGTTTCGCACTCACGGCCCCTCTTCCTGATAGGGAACCTCTCAGGAGATTCTCAGAGACGGCTCCCTAGCTCAGCTGCAAGGGCGTCAGGCTACATAAGACCCAGACTCTGCCCTTGCAGAATGCCAGGCTGAGATGAAGTCTGCTCAGGTTTGGAGCCACACCTTTGTTCTCTTAACAAACCTTTCTGGAGCCCCTACTGCGGAGACACTTTGCCTCTTCAGCCTTTTAGCTGGGTTATCTTAGCTAGCTGGAACTGTTTCCTCATCAGTAAAATGGGCTTGTGGACATGAGGTCTGGGAGAGGAGATGTGGGCCTCACTTCAAAGTTGTGAAGACGTAGAACCTTCTGTGCCAGGACTCCAGGTCCCACCTCAACCCTCAGCCCAGGCCCTACTAGTCACTAGGCAACCAACCCTGGTGAGTGACGTGTGTCATCTGTCACAGCGGGGAATTGTTTGTTCCGGGGTGGGGGGGACGCTGAGTCAGCGCCAAGCAGCCTGGGGGGGGTGGGAGGCTCCACACCCGCTGCCTGCTGGTGGTGCCAGCTCTGGGGCAGACAGACAGACAGACAGCACCCTTCCGCCCCTGCTGGACCCTGTTGCTGTGCCTATCAGGCAGGCGGCTGCCCAGAGTCAGAGGAATTGGGGGAGGGGCTCCAGATGGCCCCAGCTCCCTCCAGGAAGCCTGTGTTCTTTTCCTCTGAACCGTATGGGGTCTAGGATGTTTGGGGGTGGCGGCCCTGCTGCCTCATCCTGGGGCTCCCCTTCCCCCTCAGTCAGGCTTCTTTACCGGCCTGCCTCCCCCAGGTCACCGGGAGGTCCTTCCAGGCCCACACCGTCATTTCCTCAAGTGTCTGTTACCTCAGGAGTCCCCCCACCCCGGACACCACAGCAGAAGGCACTTGGGACCGTCTGCCTTCACTCCCCTTACCACACAGGCCCTTTGGAGCTGGTTACTGGAGAGCCCAGGGATGCATCTCCACCACTCCATTTCCATGACCACCATCCTCCTCAGACCACCATGAACCCCTCCCCGGACTTGAACAGGCCCTTCAGTGATCTTCGAGTAGACAGAGTGGGTAGTACTTTTCCCTGGATTACAGGTTTACCACTCAGTAGCTGTGTGGCCTTGGACAGGATACCTGTTCTCTCACCCGCAAGTCAGCAATGAGAATAGGGCTAGAACTAAGTCATTCGGTTGTCACAGGCGTCCGGGGAGCTGATCACGCCTGCTTGCTGGGTGGTTATCTTGGCTGTGGCTGTTAGCCAGCTTGTATCCCCACCAATCCTAAACCTCAATCTGATTACCCCACTTTGCTACTGTATACTCCTCTAGGACTCCCTCCACTCATACGTTACAGCCCCGTCTTGGTTGGCCTTGCAGGGGCTGGCTCTGGTGACCTTTCCGGCTGCCTCGAATCCTCTTTTCTTCCCATTCCCACACAACCCAGCCCCATGAACGGCTCGCCGAATGTTCTTTCGGCCTTCTGTGCCTTTGTAGCTGTCGTTACCACGACTTGGACTGCGTCTCTCCCATTTGCTCACCAAATGCTCACTTATCAGCTTGAACCCACCAGCCCACATGGAGTCTTGCTCGAACCTCACCACTGATCTCCCCAACTCCCTGGGGGCCTCCTGGACAAGAACTGTGTTCTAACCCTCTAGGGTTCCTGTGCTCAGCATGAGGCCTGGGAGAGGAGAGGCCATGACTTGAAATATGTGGGGAGTGTAATAGACATTAGGATTCCATTGTCGACTGCCTGGGAGCTTGGGCCAAGATGTGTGTGTGTGTGTGTGTGTGTGTGTGTGTGTGTGTGTGTGTGTGTGTGTGTTTGCCATCCAGCTCCCTCCAAGAAGCCCATGTTCTTTTCCTCTGAGCCATCTGGGGTCTGAGGTGTTCAGGGTGGTGGTGGGCCTGCCCCAACCCTGACAGGTACATGCCCCTACCCCCAGATCATAGCCTTTGATGAGCTGCGGACTGACTTCAAGAACCCCATCGACCAGGGGAACCCAGCGCGGGCAGTAAGTGATACATGTGCTGTGCTGAGGTGTGTCCGTCCGTTTGTCTTTCTGTCACGGGTGGAAAGTGGGAATGGGGGTCGGGGAAAGGGGATGCGATGTGGAGGGCTGATGAGGTGACCCTGTCCTTTCCCCGGTCCCCGCCCTCGCAAACACCTGGAGCGGGCGTCAGGGCTCGGGTTCCTCCTGATGGGGCAGCCTTTTCCAGGCTCTGGGCCGTTGCCATGGAGATGCAGATGAAGGCCCCTCCATGGCGACAGTCGCCATGGGGACGCGGCTGCTTTCCTGAGAGGAAGACACCGCAGAGTGTTCTGGCGCCCTCTGGCGACCACACGTGGGGCCGTGGGAGGCGCCCTGGTTTCTGCTCCCCGGCCTCCCTTATCTAGGCCCTTTCCTTCCCTACAGCGCGAGCGTTTGAAAAACATCGAACGCATCTGCTGCCTCCTGAGGAAGGTCAGTGTCAGGAAGCGCCTAGCTAGTGCTGGTCTCACTCCCCAGCCCACAGCCATGCCTTCCTCTTCTCTGAGGCTTTTGGATCCACTTTGCCACCCGGGAGGGTGGGAATGGCAAGCCAGGGACCTTTTTGTCCTGAGATCACGGTGGGTGGGCACTTCCTAAACCTCATTCCTTCTCTGTGCCGTTGACCTCTCACCCTCGCTCCCCCAGCTGGTGGTCCCGGAATATTCCATCCACGGCCTCTTCTGTCTGATGTTTCTGTGTGCGGCAGAGTGGGTGACCCTGGGCCTCAACATCCCCCTCCTCTTCTACCACCTTTGGAGGTGAGGGCAGCAGCTACGGGGGGGCGGAGGGGGGTGTGTGAAGATGGGAGCAGGGCAGGATGGGGTCAGTCGGACCTGGGTGGCTGGAGGGGGCACTCAGACCTCCCTCACCCCAGGTACTTCCACCGCCCTGCGGATGGCTCCGAGGTCATGTACGATGCGGTCTCCATCATGAATGCTGACATCCTCAACTACTGCCAGAAGGAGTCCTGGTGCAAACTCGCCTTCTACCTGCTCTCCTTCTTCTATTACCTGTACAGGTGAGGCGGCAGGCTCTCGATTCCTAGTCCCTCTTTTTGCCCTTGAGGACTACAGACAAACCAGGGTATGCCGGGGAGGGTGGCAGGCTGCCTCGGGACACACATTCACAGCTTGTCTCCCCCGCAGTATGGTTTATACGTTGGTGAGCTTCTAAGGGTGAAGCCGGCCAGGGAGCAAGCCCAGAATGGACCGGACGCCTGTGCACCCCTAGCCCTGCCCTTCTGGCCACAGAGGCCTCAGCCCCGGGGAGACAGGGGGCACTGGTGCCTCCAGCCTCTTCACCCCCCCAAACTGCTGCTGCGGGGACCCACCCCCGCCTTCAGAGCTCTCCCCCTCCAACTAGGGCCAGGCAAAGCTCTCCCTGGGGTGGGGGCTCCACTGCTGGCCTGCAGTAGGCATGGCAGTTGTCCTGGAAGAGGCGGGGCTTCCAGTCTTGTCTGTTTCCGGGGAACTTGGGCCCTGCCACCAGGCAGACCTTGATCTTGGAAATTCTGGGCAGCCCCCCGTGGCCCTCACCCTAAAGCTCCCCCTGCAGGTGGGGGGGCACCTGCACCAGGAATGAGCAGGCTCAATATGGGGGCAGCCCCGTCCCTAGTCTGCCCTCTCCCCTCCCCAGGCGCTCTTTCCAACCCAGTCTCTACTTCTCCCAAACCCAGCCCACCTGCCCCTTGGACCTATTTTCTATGTTGCCTGGAGGAGTCCGGCACCCCTTCCCCGGCCATTTGTGACAAAATATGAATAAACAACTGAAAACACACAAGCCCCAGGTCTGCTCCTGAAAGGCTTGAACAGATGGGGTCAGGTGGGATACTCTGAAGGGAGCGACCTGGAGCTACATCCCCAGCACACTGAATCTCACCCTAGCCCCAGGCTTCTCTCAGATGTATCTGAGGCCTTGGAGGTCTCCTTGGCACCCACCCATTCTTCCACCCACCCCCTTTTCTGATGTGTCTAATACAATCCTTCCAGCTGTTTTTCAAGGCAGTATAAAAGTCACCTCCGGGATGCTCTCCTTGGACCTCCCTACCTTCTCCTAAACAGACCCAAGCTGAGTCCCCTGGACAAAGCAGAGGCCCAGAGGTGTCCGTGGCTTCCCCTTGGGCCCCAGGAACCAGGGTCAAGCCAAGTCAAAGAAACCAAATCTTCAATGTATGGAAAAATCAGTGCCACCTGGGACCGGGTGATCACCGGACCAGGTGGAAGGTCAGCCAGTATATGATGAGGGGCTGGAAGGCAGCTGCTCCCAGGGTCAGGTAGAGCTGGAGACGCTGCCGAGGGGCTGGCCCCCCCATGCTGTCAGGGCCCAAGGCTGCAGTCCGCAAAGAACGCACCTAGAAGAAAGGAGTGCTGATGCCGGGCCAGGAGGGGAAATGTGTCCCAGAGCTGACCGGGCGGAGGAGAGGGATCACCCCACACTCACAATGAAGTACATAAGCGCAGATGATGTCCAGGCCAGGGCCACGTAGTAGCCATCGCTGCCGAAGAGCAGCCCTGTGAGCACACTGAGGATCATCCTGGGGGTGCAGGAATGGACTGGTGATCCCCAAGGCCCAAGCCCGAGACTGGCCCTATCCACCAGGGCCTAGAGCCACCCAACACTATGACCCATGACACCAGGCTGTCCCTACAAGGAACCAGACAGACTCTGAATGGATCTGCAAGGTTCAGGACTCAGTGCCAGGACCTGAAATCCCTTTCTCTTCCTTGGGCTCCCCAAGATAACTCACAAATCCTCATCCTCTTTCAAGTCACTAGCTCCAAAAGACTGGTGGAGAAGAGCTGGGGCTTGGAATGGGGTAGACGCATCTCCAGCGTCACAATGAAGGCTGCAGCTAAAGGCTGGGGTCGCAGACCCTCCAAGCTCCTCTCAGCCCACAGGTACTACTCACCCAACATATTTGTAACCGCTGTAGGCCAGGAGGTGGAAAGTGCTGAGCTCACTGTGCACAGTGGCCAGGTAGAGGCCCAGGAGCAGGGCCAGCACCTCCATTAACACCCATACCAGAGCTGTGCTTGCACACAGGCCCAGCACCTCTGGGGAAAACCTGCAGCCATGGGAGAAGGTAGGTCAGAATGAGCCCTCCTGTAGCAGGTGTAAGGTGAGAGGCTAAGAGTGAGCTGGGACCTGGCCCCGGACCCGACACACACTCCCTGCAGAGGAAGGGAGAATGGAGCGTCCGCACCAACCTTTTCTGAATGCCCAGTGCCATCCCAGCCAGAAGCACATATGTGATGAAGGCCATGGCTGCCGAGAGAGGAAAGGATGCAGTCAGTCTGGCTTCTCACCCAAAACCTCTCACTAGACATTCAAGTCCACTGACATTCTAGCTTCTCCCATACTTCCCTCCCTGCATATCCCAGCAGGGCTCACCCTTCACATTCAGCTCTCCAATGTCCCGTCCCAGTACACCTCTCTGACTACCCTGCCCCCTCCAGCTGAACACCACTGGACCTCCCAGGACCATAAGCTACCACCTCCCCTCTTATTGACGTGGCCACCAGAGGGCACAGCATTGCCACCTGCGAACTATGGGAGAGCTAAGTCCCTGAGAGCCGTGGCTTCAACGTGTGACACAGGACGACAGTACTAGCTTTGTAACACGGGTCACGAGAGGATCACGGATGGAACAAGCTCAGCAGTTGCCCTTCCTGGCAGCTCCTCTGGACAGCTCTGCCCTCTGCCCGAGCATATCTGCTTTCCTTGTGTGTGTCCTCTGGGCCTGACCCTGATTGGCAGACAGGACAGAGAAGAGTGAGGTGCAGAGGCTATGTGGCTAGCCTGATAAGGGCCGTGGAGACAGGCAGCCGTGAGGATCCAGAAGGGAGGAAGCATTTGCCCCAGCAGTCAGGCTGCCTAGAAGGGGGGGATGCTGGAGCAGGCCTCCGAGGACAGGGCAGTAATGGGACCAGCAGCTAGCACTTATGGCGAGGTGTGTCTCCTTCACACCACGGGGAATGCTCAGCACATACCACCTCCCTGGCTCTCCACAACAATTCTCTGAGGAAGAAGCCACTGTTGGCCTCACTAAAGGTGGAAAGAACCAGCCTAAAGTCCTACAGCTGGAGCTGCTGAGCCAAGTAAAAACCCAGGGCTCCAGGCTGGGGAGAGACAGGGTCCAAATTAAAAGGCAGGAAGGTTATGGGAACATCAAGGTCACATTCAGGAAGTTTCCTACCGGTCACCCTGTCAATCTGGTGTCTGTTAACAGTCACACATGAAAAGCACCAGAAATGGATGCTGGGTCATTAGTTGAGTCTCCTTTTTCCTAACGATGCTTCAGGGCACAAGTACCCCTGCGTCCCCAAGCCCACATCAGAGACTCACTGGGGATATAGAGGTCAGGAGCATTGAGGTCTTTCCGTGGGGGCAGAGGCACATCATGACTGTATTGCATTTTCCAGTTCTGGCAGTGGCAGGGATCCGGTAAGCAGGAGCAGAGGAAAAAAAGAGGAAGAAAGGGGCTGAGGTCTGAGGATCAGGTTATCCGAAAGTGGGGAGAGGCATGCCAGCTCACCTGGTAGGACGCTCACCTGATGTGTGTAGGGGAAGACCAACAGTCCTAGCTTCTTGGCTACATAGGCTGTGTCCACAGCAAAAAAATACTTGAGTTTGTTCACAGAGACGAAGCGGTGCAGCTGGAGGTGGAGAAAGAAGACTGTGGGCGTGTCCCTTCCTGAGGCTGCTTGGGGGAGTCAAGTGGGACCCTGTGACACCCCAGCCCTAGACAGAAACCCTGTCACCCCTTCCCTGAGCACAGGCCACACCTCTTTGTGCACTATGTCCTTCCCTTGGGATGCTATGGAGCTGCCATAGGCCATAGCCATGTTGGCCACTGGGTCCCCAAGCAGGTGGTTGACACTGAAGGCTACATCAGCTCCTGGGGCTGGGTATCCGCCTGGCTGGCTGGAATAGCCACCACTTGTGTCATCGAAGAGTGGAGGAGGATCTGGAGCGGCCCGGGTCCTGTGCTTGGAAGCTGCAGGTGTGGGAATACCAAAGCAGGTAACAGAAATACAGAGCGAGGACCCAAATCATTGCCCCTTCCCCGGGCTGAGAAGCTGTGCATAGGTCCCGGGACACCAAACAACTGCTGAGAAAAAGTCAGGATGCGTTTTAAGAAAGATCTCCTATTCTTTTGTGGGGAGGCGCGCCTTGAAGTGGCTGCCCACTTGTGATTTCTGGGAGGTGTCAAGGGAGATGATCCCTGAATACTAGAAAGTGAGCAGATGTTTGCTTGAGTACGATCACCGGTAAGACATCCCTTAACACGTGTAGAAAAGGCAACACCGGCTACTTGGAGTCCCCGGACAGTGGTCAGGAAGGCTGTCACAGTTATAATAGAGAAACAAAGTTCTGGAGGCGAAGTCGAGTCAAGCAGGATCAGACTTGGGGATTCCAGTTGTGCTATCGCCGCCTAACCTCAGGACTTGGCCAGCAAGGGCGAAGTCCAGGACACGCTGCAGTGTGGCAGGGCAGGAACCCGAGAGACACTCCCCGCCCTGGGCAGCAGCCACCGCAGGCCCTCTCCCTCCCGGAGAGTGGGTCCCGCAGGGGATTTGGAGCCCGGCTGCCAGGCCGCGCCCCGCCCTCCCCAGTCTTCACGCACCGTGGGCTCCGTATCCCGGGTGATAAGCCATGGCCAAGATGATCGCTCTACCCAAGGGCTGGCTGCGCTGAGTCGGGGGTACAACACTACTGATAAACAGCTGCTTCTCTCGCCCGGCACTGACCGAAGTTACCCGACAGCCCGACACGTCCCAGGGCTGGCGGGTCGCGGCGCCATGTCCGTGGCGTCACACTCCGCTGTCTACCATAGGCTTTTCGGAGGAGCTGGTTCTCCCCCTCCACACTCCCAATTGGCTACTGGTGAGCCTTCGCCCAATCGGATTTGGACATAGTCAACTTCCGATAGGTCGGGGGCGGAGCTATTCAAGGCGCTCTCCGATTGAGTAGGAGGCTGGTTAATTCGCGGCACGGCCAGCCAATAGGTGGGGAGGGTTTGTAACTTAGTTCCGCGTCTGCGCCGAGAGGCGCTTGACGCTCCCTGCCACGACTACGCCGGTAGCAAGACAGCTCCGGACGGACACAGCTGGTTAAGGTACAGAGCCGACTCCGCCGCAACGCATTCCAGGAGGAATGTGGCGGTCGGTCAAGCTTGCCCTCCCTCTTGTGCTCTCTTTCCTCCAGTTCACTCAGTCTTGTAGCGGAGCCCCGGGGGTGTAGAATGTGGTGGTGTTGCCCACACCAGGCGAGTGACAGCGCAGTCTAGAGCCCTACAGCGCTGACTCCTCCTCCGGCCTCCCACTCCTTTCCGAGCAGGTGCTGTCCGTCAGCCGGTGCTGAAAATGCCCTTTAGCGTCCGCCGCTATCCTGTTCATCAGCTAGGGTCTTTGCTGGGAGGGTTTGGGATCGCGCTCTATACATTCTACGCGCGCGCGCGCGCGCACATGTACACACACACACACAAACACACACATGCACGCCCGCACGGGGCAGGGGACAGAAACTGAGCCCCAGAAGATCCAAAATTCCAGAGATCTGGTGGTATACATGTGGCAGGAATACACACTGGGCCTTATCCCGTTGCTTTCTCCAGTGGTCCGGTGGACTTGGGAGGCAGAAGTGTGCTGATCTGTCTCCTGAAGGTGCAGTCGAAAATCCTTAGTCATTACCAGTCCTGTGATCTCAGTGAGGCTCTTAGGCCTCGCTCCTAGTCTCCCAGACTCTTTCCTTCCCACCCAGGTTGTAACCACGCC